GCTGGGTCGGGTGTTGGTGGGGGTGTGGGTGCTGGCACTGGTGTGGGTGCTGGCGGGCAGCAGGGTGGGGAGGGTTAACGCTTCCACCCATTGGGCTGCTGGGGAACATAATTAAGTGCTAACTTGTCATTTTTTTAATGAAGTACCGGAGCTGGAGATTTATAATTGCTAATGAGCCAGAATAATAATTAGTTGTTTTTTAATGAGGGCGACGATCACTTGGAAGGAGAAAGAAAGAGAGCACCAGGCCTCGCTTTGGCCTAATTTCTCCTCCATGCTTGTGTGGTGTGTCCAAGAGCACAGGTTGTCCCTGTCCCCTCCAGTGGCAGCGGTGGGCCTGGCCCCGCCCGCGCGCGTTCCCTCTGGTGGCAGTGGTGGCCGTGGCCCTGCCAGCTCCGTGCCTGTCCCTGTCCCCTCTGGTGGCAGTGGTGGCATAGCCCAGGAGCACCCGCAGCCCCATAGACCTGGTGAGGCCCTGGCGCATGTCCCCATGTCCCCGTGTCCCATTGAGGGTGACGTGGGGTGCCGGGACATCCCCCCCCACATGGGGGGCTGCGCTGGGCTGATGTCTGTGTGCACCAGGGTGCAAGGGGGATTTGGGAGGGGGTGCCCACCCACTCGGGGATGCCTGGATGCTGTGTGACCTTGAGCTCATCACTTTCCACCATGTCCCGGCCTGTGACGGCACCGAGCAGCATCCCATCCCAAGAGAGCGCCTGTGACGGGATCAGAGGGCAAAAATCAGCTAGCTAATTAGGTAATTGCAGGTGATTATCTTTAATTAGAGATCGGGAGGGGTGTGAATCAGCAGGATGGGGAAAGTGGAGGCTGCTGGGCTCAGGGAGGTGCTGAGCTCCGGGTCCTGGCAACACTGAGCCTCCCGGTCCCCCAGCTCCCACCGAGCACGTCCCTGCTTGGGCTCTCTCAAAAACCTCCCTAATTGCGGCAGAAACCTTGAGAGCCGCTGGTGATTGCCTCTGAAGGATTCATAAATCAAGCGGCAAATAACGGGAGACCTCGGCGATATTGTTTCAAAGAAAATGTAAAAAAAACCATAAAAGGCAAAAAAGAGCGGAGATGGAAACAGCCGGAGCTGATGGGGTGGCTTCCCGCCCCGACTTTTTAAGGAGATAAATAATGAAACCCAAAACGTGGCACCGTGGGACGATGCTGGCACCATCGGGGACCCCAGCCCGGCAAACGGCGTCACCGCGTCACCAATGTCACCCCCCGCTCCCCCTTCCTGAGCAGCAGGCACAGGAGAAACCCCCCACCTCTCTCCAGACAGGCCCAATTTAATCTCAGCGTACGCTATTATTTCTCAGAGGTGTAATTAGATTTAATTGTCAATTACTAAGTGGTGATGTGGAGTAGGCACGAATGGCAGCGGTTGCCCCCAGCCCCCTGCAGCAGAGGCGAGCGGGTCCCAACACCGGGACCCCCTTCCCCCGTGCCCCATCTTCCTGACCCCCCCAAGAAATGCGGCTGAGGCTGTTCACGCTGCTCTGGTTTCTGCTGCTTCACAAGAGCTGAAACCTGACCTTTTTTAATATACAAGCCTGTGATTTCGGAGCCGGGAGCAGCTCTGGGAGGAAAAAGGTGGGAGTGACTGAGATGGGGGGGGGGATAAAAAGCATCGTGGGGTCGGTTGGATGGCATTTTGGTACCCGCTGAGTGCTGGGGCTGAGCCGGTGGTGGGGATGCTCGGGGGAGCATCACTGGGATGTGTTGCACTGGGATGCAACACAGGAACCTGTGCCAGTGTTACTGGGATGCAGGATCTTGTCCCAGCAGTGCAGGGATGAAGGATGGGAGGCAGAGATGCCCAACTGGCCATTTGAAAATAAATGGGAGCTGTCACCCACTCGGTACTGGGAGCGGGAGCGGGGCTGGGCAAAGCGATCCAGCTTGGAAATTGCAGCCCTGTGCCGTGCCGCAGACGAGGTCCCGATAATTGCGCTTTCTTTTCTTCTTTTCTTTCCCTTTTCCCCCCGCTGAGCTGCAATAATTGGGTGCTGTCGCCCGAGCTCATCCACTGCCAGCTCCCTGAAAGGAGCTCTGCAATTAGCGAGCGTCACCCTGTAATAAAGCCTTTAATATCCACTTTCACGGCTCACACTGCAGTCACTCAGCCCTGTTCCCATCGCTGTTCCCATCCCCATCCACTTCCTCATCCCCATGCCATCCTCATCCCCATGCCAACCCATCCCCATGCCATGCCATCCCATGCCATCCCATCCCGTAGCATCTCCCATTGCCATTCCCATCCCATTCATCTCATCCCCATTCCCATTCCCATCCCCATCCCCATCCCATCTCCATCTCCATCCCCATCCCCATCCCCATCCCCATGCCATCCCATCCCCATGCCATGCCATCCCATGCCATCCCATGCCATCCCATCCCGTAGCATCTCCCATTGCCATTCCCATCCCATTCATCTCATCCCCATTCCCATTCCCATCCCCATCCCCATCCCATCTCCATCTCCATCCCCATCCCCATCCCCACTCCCATTGCCATCCCATCCCACCCCCATTGCCATTCCTGTCCCATTCATCTTATTCCATTCATCCCATCCCATCCCATGTCCCCATGGCCCAGCTCAGGGGGACACAGGCAGTGATGGGGTCTGCTGCTTCAGCCCCTATTTCCCCCATAGCTGTCCCAGCACCTCTCCTCCTGCCATGCCACAGCCACACCAACACATGAGGACTGGCAAGGAGAAAACCAAGGAAAAACACGAGGCAGTGAGAGGAGATGGAGAGCCCATAAGTCACCACCGCCCCGAGACGTTCATAAATAATGTAGAGGCACAGGCTGGGGAGCTTTTTACCCAGTTAATTAATATGTACGGTGAGCACACGCACGCTCGGCACGACGGCACGGCTCCCCCCTCGCTCCCCGTAAAAATCCTTCTCGCAGGACTGACACATTTATTATTTTTCCCATAATTACCTTATTGTGAACGTTTGTTAGAAAGCACCCTGGGAACCCCGGCCTTGTGCAGGGCTCCCAGGCAGGAGCCGCCTTTGAAATGCTGGCAGAGAGGGCTTTGCTCTGGAAAGTGGGTCGGGACCAGGCCTGAGGCCTCTGCTATGTGATGCCAAGCACGGCATGGGATGGGATAGGGTGGATGGGATGGGGTGAATGGGATGGGATGGGATGGGATGGGATGGGATAGGGTGGATGGGATGGGATGGGATGGATGGGATGGTGTGAATGGGATGGGATGGGATGGGATGGATGGGATGGGATGGGATGGGATGGATGGGATGGGGTGAATGGGATGGGATGGGATGGGATGGGATGGGATGGGATAGGGTGGATGGGATGGGATGGGATGGGGTGAATGGGAGGGATGGGATGGGATGGAGTGAATGGGATGGGATGGGATGGGGATGGGATAAATGCAATGAGATGATGGCTGCAGTGTGGGACCTTCCCTTCCCTCCATCTCACAGGCCCACCAGCTCCAGCACAGACAAGCACCGACCCCATCTCTCCCTCCCTGACACCCCGAGA